GCAAAGAAAGAAGGCGTAACTTTTAGTCTCGCTGTAGTTTTGTTGACGCTTTGACGCTGCCCTGAAGATGCTGTGTGCTTGGTTGTGAAAGCGAAACTACTTTGTTTGGTCTTCCAAAAGAGGACGATATGACGATATCCATGCCTGGAGCTGATCTGTGCTGGTCGCTGAGGAAATATATCAACTTTCACCGTGGACAAAGCGGAGTCCAGCCCGCCTCAGCTCACTCTATCCCGGCCTCAGCACACGCTAAGCAGGGGCTTCCCCTCATGGTAGGCCGCTGTGTTTTTCGTTGCCACTGATGATTCAAATGCAAGTTTTGGGCAGTAGAGTAGCACTTGTTGTTTGTCATTTCTCCGATCACAAATGCAGACATAGTTTTATGTTTACGCGGCGCGATGCAATGCAACGCAATGCGTAAAAAGACAGTATAAGTCATGGATGCAACAAATGCCTCATTTGTAATGGGTTTTAATGTTTTTGTCTCGTCGCTCTGGCCGGACACGGCATCAACAGTATGGTAAGGGGCGTAACATTTCCATCTCACGCTTGAGGTATTCGGCCAATCACAACGCACTGGATAGCTGGCCAATCACAGCACACCTCGCTTTGTCAGACTGATGAGCTTTGTAAAAATCGAGGCGTTTCAAAAAGGTGGGGCATAGAGGAGAAACAATAATGTACAGTATGTGGAAAATAATGTGTTTTTTTTACTTTAAACCTACTGAAAGATGGAGCGGTCCCAGCTATAAAAGATCCCGGTCATGATTCAGAACTGCAGACGGCAAGTGAAACAGCATCAAATGTCTGTTTTGTTGTTATTCGGCGCTCAAGTGCTCGTCACTCTTTAGCTCCGCCCACCGCGCGCCTCCAGGAGCTCGGCTTTTCCCAGAGAGAATTGTAAAGCTGTATATATCTTTTATAAATATGATCAAACTAAAGACTTTTTTGGAGTACTACTCTATAGGTACTCAAGATTAACATGAGATTGGGTGAAACTGTGTGTGTTATGCCCCCTTTAAGTTAAATTGTGCTTTGTTGGTATAATGTCTGCTAGAATGTTAAAAAATGTTCAGTGTTAAATATTTTTTAATTATTGTTTTGTAATTGATTTTTTCTTTGAAAAGCAAGACAAAACAATAAAAAGCTAAATTTGGGTATTTAATTTATGCAATGGTATTCGGCCTTCGGCCCAGTGTTCGGCCTGGGGGGGGAAAAAAACTCGAAAAACCGTGTTCGGTATTCAGCCTTCGGCTTTCGGCCCAGTGTTTCATTTTGCTCGGATTTGGCTTCCGCCAAGAATTTTCATTTCGGTGCATCCCTAATAAAAATTACAGGGGTCATATAATGCGATTTAAATTTTTCCTTTCTCTTTGGAGTGTCACAAGCTCTTGGTGCATAAAGAAGATCTGTAAAGTTGCAAAGAATAAAGTCTCAAAACCAAAGAGATATTCTTTATAAAAGTTAAGAGTTAACCACACCTACCTAAAACGCCTCGTTCTAACACGCCCCCACATACCTACGTCACAATCTGGGAAGGTTTGCATAACGCCGCCCAAATGTTCACGCAAAGAAAGAAGGCGTAACTTTTAGTCTCGCTGTAGTTTTGTTGACGCTGCAGCCATGTCCTGAAGATGCTGTGTGCTTGGTTGTGAAAGCGAAACTACTTTGTTTGGTCTTCCAAAAGAGGACGATATCCGCTTCGTCATGCCTGGAGCTGATCTGTGCTGGTCGCTGAGGAAATATATCAACTTTCACCGTGGACAAAGCGGAGTCCAGCCCGCCTCAGCTCACTCTATCCCGGCCTCAGCACACGCTAAGCAGGGGCTTCCCCTCATGGTAGGCCGCTGTGTTTTTCGTTGCCACTGATGATTCAAATGCAAGGTTTGGGCAGTAGAGTAGCACTTGTTGTTTGTCATTTCTCCGATCACAAATGCAGACAGAGTTTTATGTTTACGCGGCGCGGCGCGATGCAATGCAACACAACGCAAAGCGCAAAAAGACAGTATAAGTCATTATAATCAGTAATTGTGTCCCCACTGGATGCAACAAATGCCTCGTTTGTAATGGGTTTTAATGTTTTTGTCTCGTCGCTCCGGCCAGACAGGGCATCAACAGTATGTGAGGGGCGTAACAATTCCGCCTCATGCTTGAGGTATTTGGCCAATCACAACGCACTGGATAGCTGGCCAATCACAGCACACCTCGCTTTTTCAGACCGATGAGCTTTGTAAAAATAGTGAAGTGAAGTGGCCAAGTATGGTGACCCATACTAGGAATGGGTCGACGCATTTCAAAAAGGCGGGGCATAGAGGAGAAACAATAATGTACAGTATGTGGAAAATAATGTGTTTTTTAACTTTAAACCGCACAAATACATTTCATTACACCAAATACACAAAATAATGTTCTTTTTAGCAGCATCATATGACCTCTTTAATGTATCTCAGTCAGAGGGACCAGGATCTGATGCAGAGCGTCATAATGGCTACTTGCCTGTAGACAGCACTATTTATACAAGAATAAACAGTGATGTAATTTGTAGCGGTTGTAAAATATTAGTGCACCATAAATTATAATATTGGTTGTGGCATTTTAATGTGCATTTTTTTCTGTCACGAAAAGTGAATTAAATCACAAAAATGCCGTAAAATTACAAGCCAGCGGTTTTCTTTTGTATCACAGCCTAATGGTTTTATTTGTCTCTTGCTCTTGTGTGGGCTGTAATTTCCCCCTTTGTTACCCCCCTCTGCCCGAAACCCTGAGCATACATTTTATACATTAATAAAATCGACCAATAAAAACATACTATAGATCAGTACAAAAAATGCTTGTCTCTTTTTTTATTATTGAATTCATATTTGCTTATATATTTTACTGCACCTTATTTTTATTATTAATATATTTTCTCTTTTTATTTTCTTGTCACTGCTTTTGTCATGTGTATTGAATCTTTGGAAATACTATAGGTCCTGTATCACAATTGTGCCAATAAAGTACTCTGAAGTTGACTGTTGCTAGTCTACTCACAGTAGACTTAACAGATGTTTTGTCTTGTCTCCTCTGATTGGTTTTGTAACTGTTCTCACAGTGGGTCTGTGAAAAGGCTGAGTACTGATTCAGCCTTTGAAATTACTCCCTGTCTGTCTGTCTGTCTGTCTGTCTGTCTGTCTGTCTCCCCCAGCAGGTGAGTTTGCTACTGTAGTCTCGGTGGCTGCAGGACATCCCAGAGCTCAGACCCAGACAGGAAACTCCAATAAAGACAGTGTTTTTCTATGGAAGTTTCTTGTAGACCCTTTAATTGTCCTGATTACTTTGAAGGTAAAATCACGGGAATAACAGCCTTAACTGAGTTATAAAGTTCTAAGGCCCCTAAATGTAAAATTCTCAAACTTTATGAGGTCTGGGAAGACCTGTATCCCCTCCAACAGAGAGCAGTTATAAAACTGAGCTGAGGTGAAGAGTCAGTCCTCTACACCGGCCAGTCCTCTCTGAGAGTGACAACACACACACACTAAAATATTATTGCTTCTATTCTAAAACAATCCCTCGTGCTTATAGTTTAACTGAGTGTAAGTCTCAAGACAGCACACATACACACACTTCTCCCACTCTACCCTGCTGTTTTGGCCGTGCACATCTGGAAATGTTTGAGTGACATCAGCAGCAGACAGACAGGTCTTTTTCCCAGCATGTGACTGTTGAGTGTAGCCTGCGTTACCTCTTGAAACCTGCCATTTTAATCAACGGCGGGAAAGGAAAAAAACGGGAATGAGAAAGATGGCCCTAAGTTAGACCAATTCCTTGATCCATTCCTTTTTTTCTATTTACATTAATTTTGGACTCATTTGAAGCTTCCCACTGCACAATCAGGAAGTTTTATTCTAAAAAGTAGACTGAATTTGAATCGACTATCCCATGTGATTAAAGGTCTGCAGTTGAGTGGATTGCAAAAAAAGAAAGCAAAAACAACTCGCAAAATTTTGTTCAGTTTCAGCCACTATAGGGAGTATGCAAATATGGAAATGAAGATGTTTTGTCCATCCTTGAGTGCTGAATGTTATAAATATAAGGACTTGTGAATGTATGTTAGCCATATGTACCTGTCATCTTGCAAACTGACTTCCCAAGGCATTTGGATTCCATTTTTGTTGCTTGCCTTGTGGACCCAAATAAAAGAATAAAATGTGTGTGTGTGTGTGTCTGTCTGTCTGTCTGTCCACATGCATCCATCTGGTTCTGCACTACAGCAATTTCCCTCACAACTCAATTCTAAAGGTGCGAAAAATCTGAAGAGCCACATGGGAGAGTGAAGGAAACATTTCAGTTTCTGAAGCCAGACAGAGAGAGAAAGAGAGAGAGAGAGAAAAGAAACGGGTCCAAAAACAGCAAATACGGGCAAATGTCATAGCTCTCCATGATACTTGATTCTGATTGGTCAATTGTGGCATCCTGTGGTCAAATACTTTTGTATAATGACCACAAAACTGTATAACTGACTGCCTTTCCAGGGAAATTATTTCCAACATTTCTCCTATCACACAGCATTTCATGTCCATTTATTTTGTTATTTGATAAGCAGCCAATGAAAAATCTTACCGACTTCAAACGTTTGAGTATTGAGTACTGTATACTGTTAAAACTCTTGCGGTTGGAATGATTTTTTCATGAGTTTAAGAAGTCTCTTATGCTCACCAAGGCTGCATTTATTTGGACAAAAATCAATGTTAACATTTTTGTGAAAATTATCATAATTTTTTTTTTCAAGATTCTTTGATGAAAAGAACAGCATCTTTTATATTTTTTATAAATGTATTTACTGTCACTTTTGATCAATTGAATGCATCCTTGCTGCATAAAAGTATTCATTTCTTTAAAAATTAATAAAACTAAAAACTTACTGCCCCCAAACTTTTGAACAATAGCATAGTAAGTGTAGAAAAGTACAATCAGTCAGCCATTATTGCAAAATAAACCCCTTCAGGGTCATACAAGACCTAATCACCCTGGGTTCTGGTTTTTATTTTGTGATAATGACAGGATGACTGTACATTATCATTTAAGCCCCTTAATGATTAGTAGTCATACCATCTTGTTCAGGTACAGGGGCTGGTGGTCCGGGAGGGCCGGGAGGCCCAGGGAGGCCCCTCTCTCCTGGGAGGCCCGGTGGTCCCTGCGGACCTGAAGAGAAAGCACAAAAAAAGAGAAAAGTATGAGAAAGCTCAACATAACACACACACACAAAGTGCTACCTTTCAAGCTATCTTTCCCCTGAGTAGTCTATGTAAACATACCTATCTTGAGAGAATACAGCAATCAGGTACAGTTCATTGTGCATGACATGAAGGCGTAAAAAAACGGCAAATCCAAGGAAAACAATACAATGGCAAACATATGGAAGAAATAAGAAGCAAGTATTGTATACATATTTCATGTTCAATTTAGATTGGATTCATATGGCTGAAGAGACCCTCGATAGGGCCTGGGTAAAGACCTAAGGTCACTTAAAGCCCCTTCAGTCAGTCATGGCTCTGGTAAAATACCCTTCATAACTGTGGCCATGCTTTAAATATGCTAACTAAATTCCATACTATCTTTGAGTCTTGGGGTAAGTGACACGTATGTTAGCTGATGTGTGTGTGTCTTTTAGGCAAGCCCCAGCACAGCAGTACATGCTGTGAACAAAAAAATATTTTTTGTAGTGTGGTCCAAGCACAAATATTTTGGCAAGAGGACTTGGGGCTCAATGTTAACTCGGCAACACCTCCATATAGTGTCTCTTACAGCAGAAAAATCAGCATGGTGAGAAACCACATTCTTGCAAGTCATAGGTCTGCACTCCATAAGAAATCAGGGCTCTTTTGCTAGTGGATACAATTATATAAACTGATATACGAAGAAAACAAAAATGATTAGTTCACCCAAAAATGAAAATTTGCAGAAAATGTACTCACCTTCAGGCCATCCAATATATAGATGCGCTTGTTTATTCATCAAAACAGATTGGAGAAATTTAGCATTACATCACTTACATTGGATCCTCTGAAGTGAATGAGTGCCGTCAGAAAGATAGTCCAAACAGCTGATAAAAACATCACAATAATCCATAAGCAATCCACAAGACTCCAGTCTTGTGAAGTGAAAAGCTGCATGTTTGTAATAACAAATCCATCGAGGCATTTTAACTTTAAAGCATAATTTCTAGCCAAATTACCAGCCCATAATCGACAATAAAGCTTCCTTCAGTGAAAAAGTTCTTCCCATGTTTTACCTCTCCCATCAAATCCACTGACATAATTTGTTTAGAACAGTTTTGGACTCGCTTGTAAATGGTGCTTTATCTGTGCATATTTCTGTCAGGGTTCTGTCACTTCGGTCTAGTGTTATTCATGGTTTTGTGACAGATCCCTGACACTCCCGTCATGTTGATGTTTTCATGTGAGCGCGCGGCTTCGAGAGTGCTCGAGCTGTGCGCTCTCGTCTGCATGTCCTGTTTCCTTGTTTCATGTTGGAGCGTGGTGTTTGGATCCCGGCACTCATGTCTTGTTGAGTTTCGTTTTCGTGTCGGGGGTTGGTTGGCAGCTTGGTTTTCGCTGGCTGCGTGCTGTCTTGTTTTGTGTTAACACGCGACTTATGAGTATTCTCATTAGCTGTGTGTTCGTGTCTTGTTTTGTTCAAGCACATGGCTTGTGAAGGTTTTGCTGGCCATGTGCTTGTGTTTTTGTTTTGTGTGAGCACATGGCTTTTGTCTTTGTTTCCTGTGTGCCATGTGCTCTCTCATGTCAATTGTCTTGACCCCACCCATCATGTTACCTGATTATTGGTTAATTTGCCCCACCTGTGTTTCCCTTGTTACCCTCCTCATTTGCTCCCTATTTATTTTCCTTGTGTTTGCAATCCTGTTCCAGTTTGTCATCGCATGTATCCTGTTGTGTCCTGTCAGCCTTGTCCTGATCATACCTTGCCAGCCTGTTTTTCCTCCATGGGGTAGTTTTTGTTTTGTTTTATTAATAAAAGCCCATCTTCTGCATCAGTGAGTCTTTGCCTCATCCCTCTACCCAAACCCTTACAATTTCTTTTCTGAGTCACTGACTTTTTTTTTTTTACTGGATAAAGCAATATAATGGATTGAGGACTCATGTTTTGGTTTGAAGTTAAATGTCTTATTGGATTTGTTTCTTACAAACATGCAGCTTTTCACTTCACAGGACTTTAATTGATGGACTAAAGTCAAGTGGATTAGTTGTGCATCATTGTGATGTTTTTATTAGTCGTTTGGACTCTCATTCTGATGGCACCCATTCACTGCAGAGGGCCCACTGGTGAGCAAGTGATGTAATGCTAAATTTCTCTAAATATTTTCCAATGAGGAAACTCATCTACAGCTTGGCTGGCCTGAGGGTGAGGGAATTTTTAGCATATTCCCCATTTTTGGGAGAATTATTCCTTTAAGTGTTCGACGCATTAGACAGCAAAATGAGATGTGTTAAGAAGACCTAGTTACTCTGCCACGACGTTTGTCTTAAGTCACAGAGTGATTTAGACCTCAACTTGTGATGGTGTTGTGGGCTTGATTTGTTTAAAGCAGAGGTGGGGCAAGTCACACATGTTCAAGTCTCACGTCCCTACCATCAAGTCTCAAGTCACAGTACAAATAAATCAAGCAAGTCAAATCAGTGGCTCACCTCAAGCAAGCCAAGTCGAGTCCTGCTAAGGGTCAAGTCACAGTATCAAACAGGAACGAATATATTTTTGCCACATGACCTTATTAATTTTTACTCAGAAAGTAACTTTCTTAATTATACATTTTAAAGCTGCAGTTCATAAGTTTTGCCTCTTTGTCGGTATCTCGGTTTGAAAACCTGCAATTGCAGCTGTGTGCGGAACTATCTTCCTTGCGTGGGTTATGCTCCGGCATGGCTCCAGTGCGGATGAATCTAATGTTTTGAGGTGAATGTGTGGCTGTCAGCCACCGCACCAGTGGATATTTACTGTACTTCGCAGTCACAGATTCTAGCCAACATCTTGGAATATATGACCCAAATAAGAGTTTTCACCGGATATTATCATCTGAACAATAAAATCAGTCTGCCACATTTGTTCTGACCTACTGAGGAAAAAAGCATTACAATAAATTGCGCTACCAATGGTGATTTAATCCAAATTAGCTCATTTCACATCAAACCATGCTTATTATTATTATTGTTAAACTTTATTCTCAAATTCTTAATGTTAACAACATCAGCATTGTGTGACTGTGTATAGTGTGTATCAGCATGTGATTTCAGTTTCTGTACAGTCTAATCTCTAACTGTCATACCATTCGAATTTCATATTAAGAAATTCTTTTAACCCAAAAAGCAAATTATGCTCCCTTCGAACTGGTTGTCTTTAAAATGCAGATCTTGTGTAATCCCAGGCTATCTGTAATCAGATGCACATCTGAAACTGGAATACAATTTAACACATAATCCTTTCTGGATTACAATCCGCCATCAAAATGATCAAATTAATTATTCTAGCTGCTGTGAGAAAAGGCTATAAACCAGGGCTGTCCAAACTCGGTCCTGGAGGGCCGATGTCCTGCAGAGTTTAGCTCCAACCCTAATTAAACACGCCTGAACCAGCTAATCAAGCTCTTACTAGGTATAGAAACTTCCAGTCAGGTGTGTTGAAGCAAGTTGGAGCTAAACTCTGCAGGACACCGGCCCTCCAGGAGCAAGTTTGGACAGCCCTGCTATAAACGATCCGCCACCTGTAGGATCCTCACATGCGATATAGCCAACTAGCCGGGACAACTTCATGTTCACAGACGTGACGTAATGATGCAATGCCATACTTGAATTTCCCACGAAAACCTACACGTACCACTCAAATTAGAAAACATTATTATAAGCTAACCGTTGTGAATCGGGCTAAAGTAAGGCGATAGTTTTGAACACTGGTTGGACATGTACTTGCTCAAATATTGATTTCGGATCATTTTTAACCAAAAAAAGTTATGGACTGCAGCTTTAAATAATAATAATGGCAAAATACTACTTTATATACTACTTTATATACTGATAAGTCCGTAATTGAGAAAATATTGATAAAAATACAAGATAAAAATATTTATCTCATATTTGTTATATTGAGTTTGACCATCCTAGGAGACAGATAATATTTATATTTAACAGATGTTTGAAAATGATTTTGCACTAAATATGTCCAGCGACGACTGGGATTCAGTCTGGGAGCACGCTAAAGTATTTCAGTGTGTAACACAACATGCTATTCAATTTAAAATAATATGCTGAATACAATTTTTATCAGATATAGACACCCTATTTGGACTGTTTCTTTCACTTTGCATGATTGCCTACATTGTTCTTGAAAACTACAAGATGACTACAACTACAATGACTCAAAACAAGAAGCCTATTGTTGTTAATGTTTATGTATCTTCCCTTGTAACTTATCGATTTCTTTGATTTTATCTTAATAAGAACTCAATTGACAGCTGTGCATTTAAGGTCTGCCTAAGTTATTTGTTTTGCTTCATTTTTGTTTTCTGTTCTGTTGGAATTTAAAATATTAATTAAAAACATTTAATATCGAAATATGAAATGATAGGCCTACTCTATCACATTCATGCCGCCAGTAAGTGATGGCAAATCACTGCTTTATCACAGAAGCATTCATTGAACTGATTCATTCAAAACAGTTGATTCGTTCATGAACAAGCAAGAATGGGCCACTGAATCACTCAATGATTCGTTCAGTACTCAGTATGTTGCTTAGAGAGGCACGTAACTCTTTAGCTGTGGGCTGAACGGAACTCGCGCTGAAAATATTACTAAATATCGTATGTTATAAATATAAAAACTCATACTAGGGCCATTTTGACAACATATCTTGGATTTTGGGTGCAAGAGAAACATCACTAATCGATTTTAAAAAACTGTGGTTTCCGTGGTACAATTCCATATATTGATTTACAAAGAGGGATGCTTGACACTAAAGCACTGTTTTGAGAGGCAAATGCCAGCGAATTTAATGTTTGACGTCGTTAATTACAAACACGAGATTAATCATTTATAATCACTTTAATTTAATGACAGACGTAAGCTGAATTTTAAGACCAATGCTGTTTTCAACTAATGAACAAGCTTACATACCTTTCCTTTTTGAAGTGCTGACAGTTTCGAAGTGTTTATCCAAACACCCAGGGAGATTCTCTTGCTCCCTGTATTTGGCGTGCTGTGTTCCTGTGCTTGTGCAGTGTCATGAACTGCGCAGACTCTGATCACTTCTGCTGCTGGTTCAGTGGCTTGCGTTTTGTTTACCAAATTATGTCGCAATGATTTATAATAATAATTAGAGTTGTTATAAAGTCAAGTCCTGCCGAGTCATGAAGGTCAAGTTAAGTCACTGGATCTCAAGTCCAAGTCAAGCCATTTTCTTTATTTAGTCAAGCATGTCACAAGTCCTTAAATTCGCGACTCGAGTCAAGTCATGTGACTCGAGTCCCCCACCTCTGGTTTAAAGTACCTGGAAGACCAGCTGTTCCTTTAGACCCTGGAGTCCCAGTTGGACCTCTGTTGCCCGCATCACCTTTGGATCCTGGCAGACCTCGAGACCCTGGATTACCTACAGACACAGAGAACATAATGTAATGTGTGAATTAGTGCTCTTCTTTTTCCCTTTCAGAGTGAGTGGGCCCAAATTGTGAAAATTACTATATTTTACACCTGGTTACGCAATTATTACATTCCACTAACAAAGGCATAAAATGCTTCATAAAATAGCACTTACAATGAAGATAAAACAGAAAATGATGAAGACCTATTTAAAGGGATAGTTCACCAAAAAATGTAAATTATGTCATGATTTATTCACTCTCATGTCGTTTCAAACCTGTATGACTTTCTTTCTTTTGCGGAACACAAAATACGATTTTTAAAATATTTTAACTGTTTAAAGTAATATTTTGTCAATACACAGTATATTCTTATACATAGGGGGAGGGGGGTGATGAATTATCTCTAAGAAAATCTCCACTTCTTGTTTTATGCATGTAGTGATCATGGGAAACCTGCTGCTTTTATAAAGGTTCTAGTTCTTACAAACTGAATGAATGAATGAATCAAAGTTGGGCAGCAGACCTCTAATGTGAGTGTGCAGAAGTGTGTATGTGTGTGTTTGAGTGTGTATTTTGGTTAGGACTGAACAGTGAAAAGACATGAAACAACTCACCCTCTTTACCAGGTAAGCCATTCTGGCCTCTCTCGCCCTGTGGACCTGGGACAAACACACACAAATTTACCGTTACACAGGAAGTATAAGGATTCTCCAGATCTTAAAGCACTCTCTACTCTAGTCTGTAAAAAAGTCAGTCTTCTACACGAATCCTCCAGGCCTGCCATTGGAACAGTCCCACAGCCTGATAAAAATCTGTGGATCGGTGAAGTGCCTGTTGGCAGACACAGTCTAAATAACACCGAACTCATCATGTGAGATCATCAACTGTGACATCACTGCAGAGACAGGATTCCCTAAAGAAATAATTTATGAACTGATACATCGATATATTTACACAGTCACTCATGTTATTCTCCCCCAGAAAGATTCTATGATAAAATAAAATCTCCTCATGTTTCTCTCCCATCAAGCATCTGGCCATGAACACATCCACACAGTTTATGCTGCAGGAGCATAGTGACTGAGTAATAGGGATGTAAAGATTCACTCAACTCACGATTCAATTCGATTCGCAATATTTTTTAAAGATTTAAGACAAATTATAAATTAAATGTGGCCTTTTATTATTGCTTGGACAAAATACTGTACGTTTCTTTGTGAAATTGAAATATAACACTATAATAATATACTAATATAGCATATATATTATTGCTCTTTTGTTGGTTTTGATTGCTTCTATTGTCCTCATTTGTTAGTCGCCTTGGATAAAAGCGTTTGCTAAATAACAAAATTTAAATATAATGTAAATGTAAATAACAAAACTAAATGTAGAATTTAAAACAAGCCCCAAATCAAATAAATAAGTAACACAAATAAAAGAAATCTCTTCATATAAACAAACTAAGGCTTTGTCTGTGCTCTTTCCATTTAAAATTAGAGGCAACCACTGCATTTTAATCATGATCCAAACAAAGATGCTGCATACATGATTGTATAATTTCTAAATTTGAAGCAAAAACAGAATGGTTTGACTTTAGTTTTGTGAAACTATGCATAAAAAATATCTGCATGAAACAGAAACAGCGGACGAGCTGAATGAGACGCAGATTCACTCTCTCCAGCAGGTGGCGCTTAAAGCGTTTTCTTGGTTTCTGCTGTAAACAAAGCAGCGCTGCACTTATGAACTTTAATATGCAGGGCTCCAGATTTCGACCATTTTTTCTGCCTGTGCCACAAAATTTTGTGTGCGGTCGCACTGGCGCGACCACCGCGTTGGTCAACTCATAAGCGCTGCCATTTCTGTTGCATATGAGAAAAATCAAAGTGCAAACGAAACTGAAAGCATAACGAAACAACGCTTAGAGAGTATACCTACTCAGCTACAGCAAAAATGACGTGCATATTGAGGAAACGATGGATGGTTTTTAAGCGAAAGTCAAGTAAAAGACCGCTTCTTAAACCAGACAAGGTGAACTTGCTGGTATTCTTGTGGGGGGGGGGAAACATGCAAGCACTGTCACCGTTAGTTTGACTTTTCTTTTTGTTTTCATTTTTGAAAACCTTATCTTTGCTGTTTACCTTAAGCTATGGAGGCTCTCTTTTATTTATTTATTTATTTATATTTTTGATTCCTCAGTGTTCGCTAAACGTTCTGTAATTTATTAGTCGGTATATACCGTATTGACCCGAATAGAAGACAATGTTTTTTTCTTGGAAATACATCTGAAAATGCGGTCGTCTTATATTCAGGGTCTAGACTTTGACATGTCAATAATACACCCACAACAATAGGTGGCGCCAAATACGCATAAAACGAGTGTGCCATGAAATACGTAATGTAATGCGTGTTGTAAAGGTCGCTAGTAAAAACTAAAGAAAAAGAAAACCTTACAGCTGCATGAGTTGTGACTGTCACGTTAGCCTGATGGGCTAACATTTTACCAGTTTTTACCTTACTTTCAAAACAAAAATTAAAATAGGAAAAATATGCAATATGAAAATAATTGAAGACAAAATGTGTTTTACAGAGAAAAAACAAGATTTGGTTTTTAAAAAGCCTTTTTCCAAAAGGTACATCTGGAAAAAGGGGGGTCGTCTTATAATCAGGGTCGTCTTATATTCGAGCCAATACGGTAATACAGCATGTGGTCTGTGCCAGGCCTCATCTTATTAGTTTTTGTTTATAAACGTTTTGTAAGCTAATTTGTCATTGTATCTTACTGATTTATTGTTCTTGTGCTTTTTGATTAAGAATAACAATGAATCCATCTTTTGTTTTAGTCTTAAAAAATGAAAGGTGTGTAGATGTAGCTATGTAAGCAAAACAGTGAAAACAAGACCCCGAATTCGAAAGTGAAAGCATCCGAAGCCCGCAGCTTAACACAGCAAAAGAGAAACTCCCATTCACAAAATTCAAATCACAAATAATACTACTGATGATAAAGAATGGGTTGAATGTTAACAACTTTCGTTTCCATATAACTATAAACTATGATAAAAGTTCATCAGCATGCATTGAATAATCCCATGTTGTAGCGCAAAAAAATAAATAAATATTGCGACCAAATCATGTACTCGTGCGACCAGCTGAGAAAGTTAGATGCAAGAGAGCGACCAGTGGGAAGAATGAGTCTGGAGCCCTGATGTGCATTATACAGAGGCAAGAGGAAAAGAAAAACCATAGAAAGACAGTAAGTTCCCCTCAGACATACATTCATATAAACTCCTACCCCTAACTGAATCGTGATTTGTTTGGCATCTCAACCGATTTGAATCGTCACATATTTGAATTGATTTTCAACCGGCTCGCGGTTAATCGTTACATCCCTACTGAGTAACACAAATTCAACAATCCTTTTAAATCTGTTGTGTTACAAAAACTGTCCCCTTTGAGGATAACATGAAGGGGGGCACAAAGGTTTTGTAGTTTAGACCTATATCAGCAACCAGGCAAGGAGGAAAAGGAGACTGTAATTTGAGCCTTCTTGCCTTTCTCATTTGGGATATCTTATGATAGACAAACCTTACTGGACATGGAAAAATCCAACACGGATTAACATTCAGCTTCCCTGGACTCCCGACTGAGGTGCAGGAGAGTTTATGGGGTACGGCTTCATGCTCAGCTAATGTCTTGATCAAACTAACGCTCAGTGCCAAGCATCCTGCTTGCCAATGTCTGCTCACTTGAAAACAAGCTGGATGAGCTAAGAGCCAGGAACAAGTGGGAAACCGACGACTGCTATACCTTAATTTTCACTGAAAACTGGTTGTCTAAAACACACCGTTCTGGCACTGTGCCGCTGCTGAATCTACAGCGCCACTGTAAAAGTATTTTGTTTATATATTTATATTTTTTAAGTTGTAAGTTTGCAGTATACATTGAATTAGAAGAGATAAAAAAGATAAAATATTACAAACAAAGCACCTCTTATAGTTGTGATATTATTATATACAGTATACACAAAGTATATACATTTTATCAAACTAATTGATGACATTTTAAACATGATAATTGATAATGTATGATTTACATGACGTGTGATATATTATCACAGTATATACTTTACAAATGCAGGTTGAAAAAATAAACTTCATTGCTGCCATCTTAATAAAAACGTATTAAAAAAATAAATGGATTAAACTGATTAAAGTACTTTTCTTTGTGAAAAACAAAATGTGAATCATTTTAACCAATATCTAGATATTTTTTTCTGGGCTGGCATGTGTTAGTTCAGATTAAAATGTAAAAAATATTCAAGTATAAACAAATGTTTAAATATAAATATTAAGTATTTAGTGTTTGATAAACACTATAGTGAATACAAATGTAAAACATGTAAATACTGAATTGTTTTAGCTTTTCACCTACTGTCAGAGTAAATTAGCATTTTCATTCATCCTGTTATGCAGCATACATGCATTTACATGTTGATAGAAAAAAAAGTTACGGTGCATTTTAATTTTTTTAATCAATTTGAATAAAATAAGGTACCTAGAAGGTACCTATTCCGTATTTTGAAATGCCCTAGATAACAATACCGTGCATGCTCATTACCGCAATAAACAGCATTACCGAATCCCTGCATATGTCTAATTTGCATCCACCTTTTCTATTTCAATCAGACTAAAACAATAAGTGTGCATTATAGTGAGCCCTGCACAGCATCACACACAATTTAAGAGCTTCACATAAATGCTCATTCCTGCCACGGAAGCACCAGATTCCTTTCCACGTTCTCCATCTGTGTAACCAGCACATGGAAATAATCCTCTCAAGGGTAATTTGTGCCTCATCCTTCCACCACAATCCTCCACAGCTGGGGTATTTTGAACGGATAGAGCACCGACTTTGCGCTGAGGTGGAGAACTTTTGGGCAGCAGATCTATTCAGTGGTCTGTGTTGAAGGAACTGAATTGCTCTGATTTGTTGAATAGTTCTGCCAAGTCAGCACAGGGAGAAGGGACACTGAATAAGTGAGATGAGGGCTTTCAGAATTTTACTTAACAGGCTGGTAAGTCATTTCTGAAATCTCTAGGGACCCGCCTTTTAATCTCTTCCACACTTCAAGTGATGAAAGCAGTGACAGCGAGGGACAGCCGTGGAGTGGTTAAGGGGAATTAAGGAGTGGATATGGTCTTGCTGCATGAAGGATGCATGTATTACTGACACACACAAACTGACAGAGATGATTCACCATGTGCGATTTGATGCCTTCAGATGGAGAAATAAGAGGCCTCAAATGGGAGAACTACACTATGCATGATCCTAAAGAGAGATCCACCAATCAGAGAAGTACGGTCGAAACTAGAACAACAACAGCAGAGCACAGAAGTAACTCACTTCCATGATGTGCTACAACTTTTTGTTGTTATTTGTTTTCTATTCTTTCACTTTAGATTGTTTATACATCTAATATTACTCTGAGTGTGGATAGCAAAACTACAAAGTCAACATTTTCCAGAAAATATTTTAATATTTTGCTTTGGCTGCAGTACAATATCAATATAAAAGCTAGTTAATTAACTTTGCATAATATCACGCTTCATTCAAACAAGGACACATTCAATTGCTCAAAAGTGTCAGTAAAGACTGTTTCAAAATAAATAAGATTTCCATTTCAAATAAATGCTGTTCTTTTCATTTTTCTATTCATCAAAGAATCATGAAAAAAAAACATGATTTCCAAAAACTTTTCTGGAGTTCAGTGATCCAACTACACAGACTGTCAACACACCCTCAACAGGTAAATTATTTCATTCTTAAAATGTAAATACATTTCAAATGTAGGCTTCCAAACAAACATGTTCTTATCTCTTTTATTATTTTTGTTTAGTTTTTGGTCACATATACAGTAAGTGTGTGCAGCTCTGCTAAGCTGTGGAAACGTCTCTCCTCTTCTCCACTAAGTAAGTAAAAGTTTCATTATAAAGAAATGTATAATTCATATTGTTAGACATTTTTAATTATTACTTGGGTTTATATAAACATACCCAGTCACAATAAATATTAAAACTATCCCATGACTTTATATCACTTTTTTCTTTTAAGATTGTGAAGGGCTCACATACTGTCCATTTTTGCTTTTGGCCTTCATAAGCATAATTGTTTTTACACAAACACATGGACACACTGTAACTCTAAACTCAATTGTGCATTTCAGATATATCACATCCCACAACCTCATCTGCAGAGAAAAATCGCCACTTAATCACACCAAAATGATGGACTTTAAGGCATCATATTGATTGGATTGTGATTGTTTCACTGTATCTATTTTTTGTTCTTATTTTGTGTTTTACTTCTTTATGTATTTATTCATGTTCAATGTCAATTGTCATTCATTAATGTATTCAGCTAATAACTGTTGTTAAGAGCACTGATCATTTTGCATGTCAATAAAAACATAATTCACACACCATGTTGCTGTTGTTGTTATTGTCGTTTTACTGTAAAACCCTAACCGAGGCTACACTCTAAGATGCCTCATTACCGATTTTCTGGAGCCCAGCCATCCAAATACACAGACTGTCAACACACTCTCAACAGGTAAATAATTTCTTTCTTAAAATGTCTATAAATTATAACTTTCAAATGCTAATTGGTTTCCTATGACTTTTCTCTTTTTAGTTTAAGAGAACATGCAAGTGTGACCAGCTCTATTCAGGTAAGGATACTCTCCTTTTCTTCACTAAGTAACAAAGATATTGAATTTGGTTACCCTTTATTTCAATAGTCCACTTTAGACATTCTATTAACTATAAGTAACTTTGTAACTACATGCCAACTAATTCTCATTCATTTGCAACTACATGTCTACTAACTCTCAGAGTAGACTGTTAGGGTAGGTTTAGGGCTAGTAGAATAAGTTGACAAAGAAAGTGTTAGAAGATATTAAACAGACAGTCTACTAATACTCTACTAACTGCTAGTTGACATGCAGTTGCAAAGTTACTTACTGTTAATAGAACGTCTAAAGTGGACTATCGAAATAAAGTGTTACCTTGATTTTTTGGTCCATTTTGTTAGATATTTTTTATTACTAGGGTTTATGCATAAACATACCCAGCTATCCCTTGACTTTATATTACTTTTTCCTTTTAACATTGTGACGTGCTCACATGCTACTTTTGGCCTTCATAAACAATTGTTTTCACATAAACAAATGAAAGGAGACACATTGTAAGTCTAAACTCAATTATGTATTTCAGATGCTGTCACATCCTACAACTTCATCATCCGCAGAGAGAAACAGCCACTCAATCACACCAAAATACACATAATGATTAACTTAAAGGCATCATAGAGGATTGTGAAGATATTTCACTGGAGCTTGGTCTTCAATACACTATTTTATGTTCCATTTTGTTTTATTTCTTTAAGCATTTATTTATGTTCAATGTCCATTGTCATTCATTAATGTATTCTGCTATTAACTGTTGTTAGAACACTGTCATTTTTGCTACAATTTCACGTCATTAAAAAAGTACCTAATTGATACGTTGTTGATTTTATGTAAAACCCTAATAGACACTTCAAGATATTATAAGACCAGTCAGATAGAGGGGTAAAAACAATATTAATACATAATATATTAATAATACTAATATTAATTACATTAACATAGTAATATTAATGAAAAACTATCATTAAAAAGGTTATTTATAAAACCAATAAGGTCATTTTCAAAGCATGGTTCTATATGGAACCCTATAAAAAAGGTCATATTTAGCACTAAAAAGGGTTCTGCTATTGTTACAAGCCGAAGAACCCTTTTCTGGTACTGTTTAGAACCATTTTTCTTAAGAGTGAACTGTTTCTTGAGCAGCAAATCAGCATCTTAGACTAATTTCTGAAGGATCATGTGACTTTGAAGTATAGATGATTTATATTTTATGAAGGAGCTTATCCTGTTTGGGAGTCCTTATCTTCAGTTTGTTTTAAAAAATATGTCCAGAACAAAGGCTGCTTAAAAAGTCTGCGGTCACAGTTTGGCTGGTGGAAATGACATCTGTGACACAGTGTCAAGTGCAGTCCTACAGTTTTTCCTATACAATTAGCCCCTTCAAATCCTCACAAGCCTCTTTAATGTCTCAGTTCTACATCTCTATGGTAACTGGCAATGAATTGGTGCAATTCAAAGCCACATGCACCATGGCAATCACCCAAAAACACCCACGACCATCATTGCTCACATCGTCCAACACACACACGCACATCTACTCTAATCTCTCCCCAGTGAAATCCCAAACAACTGTACTGGGAGATAAATGAAAATGTGGGTGGGTTCTGTGATTATCACTATTGTTATAGGGAATGGGATTTTCTCCACATGCTTATTGGCTAAAAAAGTTTTCTCCGTAACTGGATGTAAGTGGATCCAGTGCTAAACTGCCATTAAGAATATACTTCAAAATTATGTGATTTTAGCCATGGTCAAATGCATGGCTTTGAACCTTTGACTTTGGCACGGAACTACAGGAACAGTGGCCTTCTGTCCAATGAACATCAATCTTTGCTCCATTAAAATCAATGGAACAGGACTGTGTGCTTCACATGTAGTCCTAAAGCAAACACCCCTAATAAAACTGCACTTTATTCTGTAACACAAAGTGATAAACATACCTGCTGGACCCTGGGCCCCAGGAGAACCTTTGGCAGGTGGTGCCCCCATCAGGAAGGAGGAGTCAGGTTCATTTTTTAACTGCGACTGTCGATGAAAGGTGGAGGCAGGGGCGGTAAGAAGCTGCACCTGGAAGAAAGAGCAACAGGAAGACAGAGAGAGAGAGAGGGCACAAAGGGTGATTGATTAAACTGTGTTCAATGGGGATTGTTTCAGTGATAAAGGAGCACTGGAGTGATGAGGACAGAGCATCATAATACACTGAGGTAGAAATAAATAAAGCTACCAATGGATGCAATTCATGCTTAGCGAATTTCCCCTGAAAGAAGCTCAACGTGAAAGATGCGACTTTACCTTGGCCTCCAGAGAGCTAACACGATCTGTGAGGGCTGTGATACGACTGCAATTCAGACAGTCTGAGAGAGAGGGACAATAGAAAGAGAGGTGGGGGACAAAGACATGTCATAATCAATTAGATCAATAACAGCTTTCACAGTGTTCTTTCCAAAGCAAGTTATTTTTAAATATAGTGGTATTGTTTTCTGCAGTATGATTTTTTTTTAGCACTTTAGCACTTATCAATTTTTGATGAAGAATAAACAAAATGTGCATGCTGAAAAACTAATCAGGAATCAGTCCGAAAATATGCAGTTTAAAAGAACTGTGCATGCAAACTCAAAATAGCCAACACAAGTGGGCTGTTTACTGTTACAAGCCGGTTTCATCATTAAGTCTTGCAACAAAGGGCCTTAGGTACAATTTATAACAGTTCCAGATGGACAAGTTCCTTTAAAGGTGTTTTATGAATGCTTTGGTCTTAATTGGGCTTTTTCATTGCTGAAGTCAAGTGGAACATATTTTGAGTTGATAATGGAGATTAGAGGTTTGGTTCTTACTTGAGATATGTTCTCCTGTTTTAGAAGCAGCTTTCAGAAGTGTAGCCTGTTTTCTTACAGCCTCCTGGGCAACCAGGTTACTTGATGATCCTACATACAGAGATTAAATTGAAAAAATGAAGACAAGACCTCAAATAAAAAACAAACAAAAAACATGGTATTGTCATACAATAAACAGTGTCTCCAAAAACGTTTTTTGAACAGTGAAATCACACTTGTAAATGTATGAATACTGTTCAAATTTTTGGCATATGAAAAAAAAGCATATGACAAAAATGCAGCCTTAGTGAGCATATGAGAAACGTGAAAAAAATCTATACACCCCCACATTTTTTAACGCTACTATACTTTTACTTATTTTGTTAGGTTTCTAATCATACAGTAATTCAATACATATGCTTTTCAAAATTCAAATAAAAACATATTTGGATATGTACTGGTTAACGTTAATGGAACGTGTCCACAGTTAATCTGATGAAAAACACTTGTGGTTACTTTGCTAGGATTGTGTGAACTTGGGTAGAAAAATGGGTAGAAAAAAGAAATTAAGTTTAGCATAATTTTTTGCAGATACAACATGATATTTTGTTGGTTTGATATTGTTTTTTTATTCAATGAAATGCTAATATTGTACTTTGAGGCCACTTTAGGTATGAAAATCATCATGAATAATCATGCAATATCCCAATATACAACTGACCAACAACAAACTATGCGCACTTTGTTAGAAGCCAAACATTTTTTCAGAATCTCTGTGCTCGGGATCGAATTTGAAACCAAGCAGCAGTATATATTTAATTCCTGGCTTTTGCCCTGTATTGGGATAGTTACGCTCTGAAAAGCACTAATAATGCTGCTTCATATCTGCAGAGACAGGAAAGGCACAGAGGGGCCTCCCTGACAGGTAAGCCCACACAGAACCCTGGCACGAGGGGAAGGGTCCACAGGGGTGGGCTGGACAGGATACAAATGTGCATGGAGGATCCAGGAATCACTTTTCATATGAGAAACGCATCTTTAAAAAATAATAACTGATTTCTGGGTTTTGGCCTAAATATGTCATCTGTGCAGCACTCTACTTTATTGTGCAAAATCATTATACATTTAAAAACAATGGTTTCCTTGTACTGTTTAAATGGACTTGAATTCACTTTTCCCCAACTCCTCTCTCTCTTTCTCTTCCTCTATGTCTTTTTTAAGGTAGTGAGAAGTTTTAATACTCCATGGACTGACCTGTTTCAGATTACTTCAGCAAACGTATCTTATATTAGGCAGTTTGTGGCTAGCTCAGGTGCTCCAGACATAAACAACTGACTCAGTTCAGAGCTTCATTACTGACTAGGGACAGGAAGTCTGCTCAACCGCTCTGACGTAGCTAAACCACAGCAGCAGCAGAACCAGAACCAATGAAGTGGCACCTGCCTTGCTCTCAGACCTGGTACAGGAATCCTGGACTTGGAGTCTCCGAGTGAAAATGTAATGGGTTCACATGGATAAGTCAATATGTAAGAAAGATACCGCAATGGAAAAAGAAAATGTTTTTTTTTTCTAGCTACCCTGGTGGGTAAATCAAAACAGAATTCAAAGAGAAAGACGCAATGTTTTGTGTTCAACAGACCTCACCAGAAGAGAGAAGGGGATGGTAACGGTTTTGCAGTTAAACCGTGAAACCTGGGATAAATGTTCCCTTCAGGAACCTCCTTCGATTTACTTTGTGTGTGTGCGGAGGAGACAGAAAGGAAATTTCCCATAATACATTGCTCTTACCGATGGTTATGTTTTGTTCCAAATGTCCCTGTGATTTTAAAATATAGACCTTTCCACCTCTCTAAAGTCTTTTTCCAAAAGCAACTCTACACAAAAAGCTAAGCGAACCACACACAAATGCTAACAGCCTTTCATCTCCCAGCAATGGCACTAGATGAGTCTTTCTGTGGAACACAAAAAGAGACATTTTGAACATTGTCCACACTGCTCTCTTCCATACAACAAATGCATATACGGGCTGTCAAACTTTTGTCTACAAAGAACAAAAAAGCAGCAGTTTTAAATTACTTTATGGTGCTTTTAGGTCATTTTTAGAACTTGCTGTTTATTGTTGCTTTATGGGAAAGAACAGCCTGATATTCCACAAAATATCTTCTTTTGTGCATGGATTCGACGCAGGGATGAGAAGATAAGAGAATTTTCATTTTTGTGTGAACTATCCCTTTAACGCAATCCTAAATCTATATTTAAATTGCAATATTTGAGCTGAATATATCACATTCACATTCAACTTAAGAATACTGAGCTGAGTGAGAGTTCAACCACCCCCAGGTTTGTAATATCCCTTCTTGCACTATTAATATACTTCCCCTTAAGAGTGCCAAGAGCCACGTCAACCTGCAAATGTATGTGAGATTGACCTCTCACCCCTGGGTGTGTATGGATGTATACAGGTGGGAGTAGCCATTGATTTTATCAGCAGGTTTTTAAATATCCAAGTTCCTTCTTAGTCTTTAAGGAGCAGAGAGGGTGGTGACATCAGAGCATGTGATAAAATCTAACTCTCTCAGCTCTGAGAGGTCAAAAGAGGTGCATGTGAATGTGTGTGTGTGTGTGTATGGTACATAGTTCAAAGGTTGAGTGCTCTTAACACCATTACGAGGTCACTTCCTGTTAAGATGCTTGGGAAAAAGCTGGACAAGGTCGAACCACACACAAATGCTAACAGCCTTTCATCTCCCAGCAATGGCACTAGATGAGTCTTTCTGTGGAACACAAAAAGAGACATTTTGAACATTGTCCACACTGCTCTCTTCCATCCTAAAATCCTAAATCTATATTTAAATTGCAATATTTGAGCTGAATATATCACATTCACATTCAACTTAAGAATACTGAGCTGAGTGAGAGTTCAACCACCCCCAGGTTTGTAATATCCCTTCTTGCACTATTAATATACTTCCCCTTAAGAGTGCCAAGAGCCACGTCAACCTGCAAATGTATGTGAGATTGACCTCTCACCCCTGGGTGTGTATGGATGTATACAGGTGGGAGTAGCCATTGATTTTATCAGCAGGTTTTTAAATATCCAAGTTCCTTCTTAGTCTTTAAGGAGCAGAGAGGGTGGTGACATCAGAGCATGTGATAAAATCTAACTCTCTCAGCTCTGAGAGGTCAAAAGAGGTGCATGTGAATGTGTGTGTGTGTGTGTGTGTATGGTACATAGTTCAAAGGTTGAGTGCTCTTAACACCATTACGAGGTCACTTCCTGTTAAGATGCTTGGGAAAAAGCTGGACAAGGTTATCGGCAATTTCATTATACTAAAATATCACAAAGGGGAAAGAGGATCCCCAGCACTGAAAAAAGGCAGTGGATTCTCTTTTTGCTTTCAGGAACAGCATGAAGTGTAGGAGTATTTATCCTGGGAGGTTTTCCTGTTTATCAGCTTATATACAATTAGAGAAGTTTGTGGAAGGAAGTGCCTAGAGTTTGTGTGTGTGTGTCTGAGGCCTGAGTTATGATGCAGTGTGTGGGAATGTGTAAAGTTATGTGTGGGTGCATTATTTTGACAAACTGTCCAGAAAGGACAGAAAGAGAGTCGTCATACAGAGATCATTCACTTCAGTCTCAGGTTAAGGGCATTAGGACGATGACATTACTGATCTTTCAGGAGTGTGCCTGGAGAATTATGGGTATGCAGCGGGCCACTATAACTGACAGGAATATTGTTCCTTGCTTAGCCCCGAAATTATTAATGGCCCAAGGTCAGCCCTTAATTCTCCTCTCAAAATAAAAATAAACCTAGGCACACGGTCACAGGATGGCACAGAAAGTTCATGCTCTAGAGCAGTGATTTATTGCCTACTAAAATAACAGGAAAATTAAAGGCTTAGTTCACCCAAAAATTAGGCTGCGTTTTATTCACCCCTGAGGCATCCTAGGTGTATATGACTTTCTTCTTTCAGACGAATCCAGTCGGAGTTATATTAAAAATTGTCTTTGATCTTTCAAGCTGTTTAATGCCACTCACTTCAGTCCAAAATAACTTAATTAAAAATCGCCCATCCATAAAAAAAAAAGTGTCTCACACGGCTCCGGGGGGTGAACAAAGGCCTTCTGTAGCAAATCGATGCATTTTTGTAAGAAAAATATCCATTTTCAAAACGTAATAATCACTTGAATCTAGCTTGCGCTCACTGTTGTAAACAGAAGCAGTTCTGGGGGAATGACGTATGAGGCCGGCTTTCACAAGATATTTTTCTTACAAAAATGCATCGATTCGCTACAGAAGGCCTTTGTTCACCCCCCGGAGCTGTATGAGACAATTTTTAATATAACTCAGACTGGATTCGTCTGAAAGAAGAAAGTCATATACACCTAAGATGCCTCGGGGTGAGTAAAACGCAGCCTAATTTTCATTTTTTGGTGAACTAACCCTTTAAATAAGAAAGGCAGAAAATCTACTAAACCTAGTCCTAAAAAGTGTCCAAAAACAAGAATTTGCCATGTTGCAAATAAAAGTGTTGGAGTTTCTTGAATAATTATATTATTCAGTTTTTAAAGAAAATTTACTTTGTAAAGAACATTTTAAATGAATTTAAATAAATATTAAATAATACATTTAAAAGTATGTTTAAAATTATTTTTTATTAACACATTGACATTTATAAAAAAAACATTTTAATTTTATTTTATATTTTTTATTAAAAATTTATTTTATAATTTTTTTAATTTCCCTCACGGTGGTTACAGTTTCATATTTAAAGAGTCAAGCGCCACTATCTGCATTGCAAGACAAATTCAGTATGAAACAGATGATTATGGAAAGTGATGATTATGTTATTCCTCTTCACTCATACTCCTAATACTGAACTACAATCAGCTTTGAGAGTCTAGATGCATTAGCTGATCTAAAACAAGACCACATCCAAATCCAGTCCATTTACAAAGACAATACTTTGCTGTGTTGACTGAACATCTGAAGGGTTTAGAGCACTATTAATGGGTTTAGAGTCCAACTGGCTTCAAACTAAACAGAGACTTTATTTAACCTAATTAAAATCTGAGTATATTAGAGAGGAGAAAAGAGCACACATCTGTAGATGAATAGGACAAAAGAAATTGAAAAATAAGACTACATTTATCTCTATCAGCGAAGACTGCTGCCCTCAGCATCACAAGCTCATTAGAGACCAGGTGTTAGTGATGAAAGCAGGTGAGGTGGGTGTGTATGCCTGCGTAAGGGTGTGTGTGTGTGTGTGGGATGGAGAATTTTAAAGGGGTCATATGATGAGATTTCAAGTTTTCCTTTCTCTTGATGCAGCCATGTCAGGGAGACGCTGTGTTTCAGTGTGAAAGCAAAAACACTTTATTTGGCCTTCCGGAAGTAGATGCAATTAGGAATCATTGGTTAAGATTT